AATAATATTCAACATTTTCTTATTATTATTAATATTTAATTTTTAGCATCCTTTAAAGTTGTTATAGTTAAGGATAACAATATAAGCAATTATTTTACCATTACAGATCCTATACCATTAATAAAACCTTTTAATGTAGTAGTGTTAACTGAAAAATATTAAGAGAATAAGAATGGGAATGAAAAAGCATTGAAATAAAATTTTTAATGAAAATAAGAAAATTCACAATAGTTGTACAATAGTCAAAGTTATTTTTTATAAAAAATTTTAGCTATACGAGAATTAATATGGTTTTTAGGAAATCTTTTATTCAGTACTTGTGTAAGATATTCTCGTAAATTAATAGTACCCATTAAGTGCTTGGAATACAAGCACCGTCACGTACTAAATTTAGAGTTAGAATTATAAATGGAAAATAAAATCAAATTAACAAAAATTAATTGTTCTATAGTTTTTAAAATTTTTCTATATTTTCCATCCATATTTAAAATAATGCACTATACGAAAAATCTTATGTTGCTTCTGTTGTACTTCATGAGATGTATTGAAATTAACTAATTAGTATGTGACGCGATATATATATAATCAGTGCTCGAAAATCGATGGTACTTCGGAACGCAGTAACAAACACATCCAGGCGAACAAAAGATTTGTTTTCTCAAGTTATAAGGATTCAAAGTCAGTTTTTCTTAAAATCCTTAAATTTTTGACATTTTTACTTATAGCTTCAAAATTAAGGCAGGCAAAGCCAACTTAGTCTACTGATTTTGAAGCTTATGAAATTCCCGTTCGGTTCTGTAGTGCGTCATTTTGTGCGTGAAAGACTTTTTTTAAATTCAGAGGCATTTATGAGTAAATTCAAAATTTAAAGAAAATATTTAAACTAAATTTTTCTGTAATTGTCATTTCCTCATAACTAGATGTTATTAACCTATCGTTTTTTCGGTGATGTTTAATATTCTGACTTTCATTTTGGTATACCGTATACTCTTATATGTGTGAAAAATCTCAGGACTATCATAGTATTGCTCTGAAATTGGTGAAATTTCTCATGTCCAGTTTTAAAAACAACTTGATTCTTCGAGAGTATGTTTTATTTTCGGGCTGATTGATTGATTTAAATTGTTTTATTGAAAAATACGTCTGCACTTGACGGCAGTCGAAACAAGAAGAAGGATTAATTTATATCATTAATATTTGGAAGAGTATTTCGAAAGAATAGAAAATAATAACAACAGCATAAATAACGAACCCGTAGAGGCAGAACCGAGAATCCACGTCCAAAACAATCGCATCAACCAGGGCCCCCCAACGCATAGAGAAGTCATGCAGGCCATTGACAAGCTGAAACGTAATAAGGCCGAGGGGCAAGATGGTATAGTAGCCGAACTCCTAAGAATCGACAGTAACACAGCCGCTCAGAAATTGCAACCGATCATGGAACAGATTTGGCATAATGAAACTATACCGAATTCTTGGAAAAGAGACATAATAATAAAGATACCCAAGAAGGGCGATCCGAAGGAGTGCAAGAATTGGCGTGGAATCACCATACAAAACTCTATTAATAGGGTTCTGGCCCTGATAATTCTCGCAAGAATAGAAGATCAAATAGAATTGCGGGAAGAACAAGCTGGTTTCCGTAAACAACGCAGTTGCATAGATCAATCAAACACATTGAGAATCATTGTGGAGCAATCAGTTGAGTGGAACTCACCATTATATATCGCTTTCGTAGATTTCGAAACAGCATTTGATGCAATACATGGCGAAAGCATATGGGAGGCACTAAGAAAGAAAAGAATCCCGCAAAAAATAATCAACATAATAAAGACACTATACGAAGAAAATGTAACTAGAATACTACATGGTGGTGCGCTAAGTGAGCCAGTAAACATAGGCACCGGAGTTAAACAAGGCTGTCCACTCTCCCCGGTGCTCTTCAATTCAGTCCTAGACGAAGTAATGAAAGAAGTCACACGCACGCCTAGAGGTTTAAAATGGTCATTAGCAAGTCGCCTAGAAGACTTAGATTACGCGGACGACATTGCCCTCCTTTCTCATACATATGAAGAGATGCAAGCCAAACTCGATCTCCTGCACGATAGAGCAAAAGAAGCTGGACTCCGAATTAACACAAACAAAACTAAGTCGCTAAGAATAAATAGCCGGAACTCGGGCCAATTCAAGATAAATAATTCATCAATAGAAGATGTAAATAAATTCAATTACCTCGGTAGTATAATTACTACTCAGAAAAACCAAATTAAGGCTGTTCGCAACTTGTGTAAAGCCGATACTGTTGTATGGAAGTGAAACCTGGCACGCAAATCAGTCCAGCATTAATAGTGTTCAGGTATTCATTAATAAGTGCATCAGAAAAATATGCGGAATCTTCTGGCCAAGAAGAATATCAAATGCTGAGCTGTGGAGGCTCGCAGGTGAAGAGCCCGTATTGCTACAGATAAGAAGAAGGAAATGGCGCTGGTTGGGGCACACGCTAAGGGGACCACAGGCTGCGATATCGCGCCAAGCATTAGAGTGGAATCCACAAGGGAAACGTAAAGTTGGAAGGCCGAAAATGACTTGGCGTCGAACAATAGACAAAGAAATCATCGAAAGCGGCAAGACCTGGGCACAAATAAAACATCTGGCCCGCAACCGAGTGTGATGGAGAGGCTATGTGGAAGCCCTATGCTCCCCAAGGGAGTAAACAAAGGAGAAAAAAAAAAAAAAATATTTGGAGACTGGATGTAGTTATAACACTATTACTAATAAAAAAAATTATTAATACCACATAATATTAATTAAAAGAATGAGGTGAGAGTTCTCATACCTTATCTGGTGGTAAGGTATGTTGAGTTCAAGAACGTTTTACAAGTGTATGAATACAAGCACATAGTTTTGTATGTTAGATTTTCAATTGGAATAATGATAGTTTTATGAAAATTTATTTAAATTTTTTATTAAATAAAAAATTTTCCATAAATTCTTAAACGATTTATTTTTATATTCTATACTTAGAATGAGTTCGATAACCTGAAATATATGGAACATTTTATTTAAATTTCAAATAAAATGCAATTTGTTTGATACTCTTTAAAACAAAAAGAGAACCAAGATTGCCCCTTAAGCATAGATAATTAATACTTAGTTGTTTGTCTAGTGCTTCTCTATTCACATCGTTTTAATTTATAAACAATAAAACAGGGAACAATATATTTTTTCTTGTTAAACTTATGGTACGTTTTCTATTTTATATAATATTAAAAAAAGAATTAGAAGAGAGAAAAAAAATAAATTACAACAAAAATAAAAATACAATTTATTCAATGTTGCAACAATATCCTTGTTTTTTTTTTCGTTTCTCTTTTTTTATTTTTTTATTATTGTATTTAACAATTTTTCTCTTATATAATATTTACGCTATTGTAATCTAACAGCTTATATAATATCGTAAATGGAGTAATTGTAAATTTTTCACACCTTCTACTTTTGATGTCGAGTTTATAATGCAATTTTAATGTCTTATTTTAGAGTATTTTTGGTATTAAAATATGATGTCTTCAAAGGGTTCTGAACTTTCTTAAAACAAATCGGATTCTTACCCGCTACGTTAGTTATAATATCTCAGAGGCTCTCATTTAAATATTTGTGAATAATCTTAATAAGAGAATCAAAAATAAGAGTTGAATTGAAAAATAAAAACTGAATTCAAGGATTTATTGAAATATTTGCTAAGTGTACTCTACGTTTGCTTGAAATTCATCAAAATTTTTCAAACATGCCTTTTCAATTTACGACTGTGACGGTGATCTATAATATTTCCTGTTCCTATATTTAACCTCACAAACCAAAATGTACACTTTTACTCCAAGTAATTGTACAATATTTTATTTTATCTAATATAAGTACATTTCTTTTTTTTATTGAAAATTTCTGGGTATTTTTATCTGCACTGCACGCGACGAACATAAAATTTAGGGTTTTATCTCAAGGGTAAAATTGTTTTCTACATAGAAAAAAAAAAAGAATGTACAAACATAAAAAAAAAATCAAAAAAAAGGATATAGGAACAAAAATTAAAACTAAAATTGTATAGAAGAGAAAAGGATCCAATAAAAACAAAAAGAACGAAAAAACAAAAATGTTCTACAACCCATTTATTGCGAAAAAAAAACAATAGAAAAACTATATTGTGGTTTAAAAAAATTTAGTGTAAAAATTAAAAAAATAAAACGAAAAAAAAAAACAAAGTAACAGGCATATTATGTAAGAAAAAAAATAGATAAAATTCAGTTGTTTAACTACAATGCCCCGAACTCCGATGGCAATACCAAATAATAACGAAAAACAAAAGCAGAACAAAATTAGAATGAAAGTCGAGAACAATAACCTATACGACCATTAAAAACTTAAATTATTATCGTATTTTCTCTCTCTAAGCCCAAAAGTGTTGGCTTGGGAATTGAAATAAAGGTTTTTTTTTTCTCTTTTGTTATTTATTTATTAAAGTTAAAATTTTTAGACTAAAACAAAACATTACGAGAAAAAAAAAGAGGTAAAAATTTAGGTAACACTAAAAAAAAGAGAAAATCCTTTGATGACTAATAAATCATTAATTTGTATGGGAATAATATTGAATTAGAAGAAAGAAAAATTGCTTTCGGACAGAGGTTGAGTCAGAAATAAATCATGAATTCGAACTTTATTGCAAAATCAGCAGTTAATCATGGCCACAAACAGACTTGGTGAGAATGTCCCAATATTGCTCTTTCAGTGTTCTGGATCTCTACCTGAGTTAGCAATAGATGAATTTTTGTTTTGTTCGTTGCATCTAATTGAAGGCAATTTAACATACTGAGATATTTAAAAATTTCCAAATGCAATAATATTGTTATAATTTTGTAATCAATATTGAGAGTCTCTGAAAATAACCTAATTTTTCATTAAAAATTACAAGTCTTTATTTTGTATCTAGTTTAATTTACAACACATAATATCCTTCATTTTTAATTTTTAATTTTAAAAATTGAATTAAATATTTCAGTGCTATAAACTAAAGTGATCATTTTGTAATTGAATTGTTTCCATTTCTTTTTGAATTTCTTCATCAATATCATCAGGATTATTGTAGTCTTCACCAAGTAAATCAATACGATCATCATGTACGTTATAATAAATTTTTGTTTTAATATTAGGATATTTTTTATATGTATACCAACTAACACCACCAACTATCAAAATTATTAATATTATTACCAAAATTTCAATTGTTATGACACTATTACTGCCAACACTATCATTATTTTCAATTTTATTGTTATTATTATTGTCAGTACTAGAATTCGGTGATATTAAAAATGTAGGTTGTTTTTCTTCTGTTATCACATTATTCTTATTAGATTCTTGGAATCCTTTTAAAGGACTAAATTTACCATCATCGTATGTACTTAAAACGGATATTGCAAAATTAAAAGTTTTATCATAATCAATTGTAAAATTATTTTTTTGCATTTCAATATTTCTATAACAAAATAATCTTATCATGGTTTTATTTCGTGTTTCAATACCACCTTGACGATGATTTTCTGATGATATAAATTTCTGAAAAAGTACTTTATAACTTAATATAGCACCATTTGGTTTATTCGGTTCCAATATTTGTAATGAATATTTTTTAGTTCCATTTTCATATTTTCCCGATTCAATTATTGTTGTATTTGTAATAGCATTTCCGTCATTAATACGATAGGTTTTATCAAAATGTAATCTGTAATCGTTACAGCCAATACGAGTACAAAAGAATACCTTAAACATGTATAATGTGGCATGTGTTAAATTTTTAATAGCTTGAAAATTATTTTGTGTTGGAACAATACTAATATTACGTATGAAATTCTCTTTTAAAAATGAAATATTTTTTGCTAAAATATTAGAACTAGCATTAGAATAATTTTTATAATTATCCGATTTATAATTTGAATATTGAAATTTATTCCGGATTATTGTATCGAATTCATCATCTTCATTTTCTTCAACAGTTTTGCCATATAAACATTTTATTTCATTACCATTTACACCTTTCTCAAAAGCAGGTGGATATTTACTATAATATTCGGGTAAGGTTTTACAAAAATCTCGTGTATCTAATTCATATTGATTATCAGTTATTTTGTAAACTTCAATTATAATTTTTGTTAGTATTTTAAATTGATAAGGTAATAGTTTCCAGCCTATACCAATTAAATTATACATTTTAACTGTTGTAAAAATCTTTGGTTGTATTGTAAAGTCTGGTGTTGTTGATGCGTACGTTGTTGTTGACTGAACTGATGCTATTTTATTATTGGAATTGTATAATTTTACAATGAATACATATCTTGTATTTTCATGTAAATTTGTTAAAGTATAATTATTTCTTCTGTAATTTTTAAGTTGAATTTTTGTCCAAGATGTCCTAAAATTTTATAAAAATAATGATATCATATGAGACACATGGATTATATATAATTTCATTTCTTTTAGAGAGTTTCCTTATAATGTTATCAATTTCAACATACCTTAAGCAAATATCTTTGTCAAGATCATGATCCAATGTTAAAGATATATTTTCTGAATATTCTCTAAAGAATATTTCAATGATTTTGGATGGAATATATTGAAACTTGGATTTTAAAACTGGAGTTCGCCATGTCAATGTAAGCGATTTTGAAGATTTATCCTAAAAGTTTTCATTAAAAAATAAAATATGTGTCATACATCAAAGATATACGACATAGCTACCATACCGTAATTTCTAATTCAAAACTTCCTTTATCACAGAATATTTCTTCGTCATTGTACACAATGAAATCTAAATCTCGGTTATGTTCAATACTTTTTTGCATTGTTTGAATTTCCCAGTTGCATAGTTTTGGATTTGAGTCAATATATAAGCCACCTTCAATAAGTTTTATCTTTCGAATTTGATGTAAATCCCATAGTTGTGTTAAATTATTGTTTTGATAAATTAAAATTCCAAAATTTTTATTTTTTGTTGGAATACCATGAACCTCTTGAAGATTTTTAAGAAATTTTAAATTTTTTATATACGGTGAACTAAAATGTCAGAAAAATTAGAAGATATAATTTTGTTAAATTAAAAAAAATTTAAATGAAATTACTTATATACTCGTAAGTGCCCCCGAATAATACGAATTTCACCAAAATTATTTTCTAATTCAGAAGCATCTAAATTATCCAATAATCGTATATTTAAAGAATTATTTAATACATGGCATCCTTTATGCTGTTCAATACGTGCTAAAGAATCAACTTCACTATCCTCTACATCTATATCACATTGTATATAACAATCAGGATCATTGACATCAGTACATTCCACACATGTGCTTTCATTTACCATAAATCCATATGGGCATGTTAAAACACATTCATTTCCTAATGAGCTTTCGTAAAGTAACCCTCCTTTTTGATTTATGCATTCCTCTTTTGTATAACAGTGCATATCCAAATCATATGCATAACTATTTCTGAAAAATAAAATTGGTTTTATAGACAATGTATCAGAATTATTTTAGTCAAAATTATAATGTATATACTCAGTGCAACGTTCCACACATCTTGAATTTTCATTATAATTTTTACAAACATAACAGTGCATATCTGATGAATCTTGTGAGCAACCTCCAAAACATTGTGGATGACATTTCAAATTTTTTTTCTCTATAGAAGATATTATAATTATTTTTTGTTTTCAGAATTCATTAAGAAATTTTAACTTACGATTAAATAAATCATATCCTTCATAAAATTGACAATATTTTTCTCCCCAACAATATGAACAACCATGACATACAGGGCAATTGGTTGCATTTGTTGACTGTATGTAATTATTTCCCGTAGATAAGGTTAAACGAGTCCAATATACCTGAATAATTAATTATTATATCATGCATTACTTGCAATATTTATTCAACTCTAGTTATAATTACCTGGTCGGCATTACATAACTTCGGACAATGATCTATGAAAACATGTCCCCTTGATATTGAAAGTAATGATTTCAAACCGATCTGTATAAATGAAAATTAAGAGGAAATGTAATTGTGATTTTTCAAATTACTTCTATTTATTCAAATTACTTCTTCTAAATCTGGATTTTCATATATTGACAAAGCATAATTATGAAAAACAGTTTTTCCTCTAATTATAGCTAAATTTGGAAATAATGCAGCTAAACTAGTGAGTCCTGTTATATTATAAATAATGAGATACTCTGTAATTTCCCTGAAATTGAAAAAGAGATTACTGTTAATAAATTTTATTCCAAGACATGAGTTATTACGTGTGATAAAAGCATATTATTTGTGAAAATAAGCTTCTAGAAATTTTACGGCTTCTCACTTATTTATATTGAATTTTATCAGCTTGTAGTATTAGAAAGAGAAGCGTTGAGTACTTTGATTAAGAATAATTCAGTTTTATATTTTTTACAGAAAACATTCATTGAAGAAAAGGAATTTAGTAGAAATGAAACGATATTTGAGAGTATTTGGAATTTTTAGGTTGTTCATTAGTTTGGTTTTTTTGTCTTTCAAATCTTGAAATTATCGTATAAAATTCAGGACAAAATTTTATATTTTTACAATTTTTGCCAAAATCTACCTACGTATATGGTTTAAAAAATTCGATTAATATCTACATCATCACTTTTATTAACAACACTAAGTTAGATCACTAAATGAAATTGGTATTTTGGTAATGCACATGAGATTTTATTGAATTGCCACTTTGAACCTATTAATATTAATTTAATCTATTAAAATGCAATAAAAAAATTTAGTTTTAAACATAAAATTTTATATAATTTGCAATGTGCTTTTTGTTCAATTAAATTCCAAAAATGTTAATTTCAGTAAGCATGGCCGACAAGTCTCTAGAAACTTAATCATATAAGCGGCGGGAATTTTACATAATGTTCAATAATCAGATATAGTACAAAACTCGGTATTATTGACAATTTTTTCTTCTGAAATATTGGTGAAGAATCTGAATGAAATTTACAATTATATTTGTATGCATGTATGCACTTATATAATTTTTTAATTACAAAAGGTACAAATAAAAGATGATTAAAATTTTATTATAAATTTATCGTTATAAAAATTTGAAGCTTCAATTTTTATTTAAAATTAGTACCTAGATTTTGTTTTTAATATTTTGAAATTTATTCCAAATTTGGAATTAAAAATTCCCAAATTATAATTTGCTATACAATAAAATTTTATTTCACTCATTATTATGAACAAAAATGGTAATTAATGCATGAATAAAAATTAAAATATTTTAAATCTATTAATTATTTTCAATTCAATTTACCTTAAATTCAATATAGTGTAATTATTTATGTTATTCTTATTATTATTATTTTCAATATTTCCTATTGCACTCATATCAATTCGATTTATTGTTAAACTACCATGAATTACTGTACAATTTTTAATTAAATCCAATGAATTTATTGAATAATCGATTATTGTCGATGTACAGTTATAATGAAAACTATTATTTGCTATACTAGACGCAATTAATAATAGAAAAATTATCATAAAATTTAATAAATCGGTTGAAAAATTTTTCATTTTCATTATTATTGAATTAGTCATTATGGTCTATGTAGTTGGCGTTTTGTATAGTGACGTATGAAATAATAAGAATTACGCGTTTTTTTAATTTATTTTTTTTATTAAATTTTATTATAAATGTGAAATTATAAGAAAGATTAAAATCAAATATTACACATTTTTTTTTTAATTTTCACACATTTTGCTGTAGATGTTAATTACACCGAAATTTATACAATACTAAAAAAGCGACTAACAAGTGTACGCAATGTACCGTTAAAAAAATTCATTGATGATTTTTTTTTTGTTTTTTTATTTTTTTATTGAATATTTTTAATATTTCAATTATCCCAAACTCATACTAGTGCAATGCTGTATACCATAAATATTATATTAATTTAGTATTGCCACCCAAATTCAATAATCTGCAATTTAATTGAAAATTAAGTTTGAAATTATTTAATACGGCAAAAAACTGATATACTCAGTTAATTTTAATAAATTTGAATGCAATGTGAGAATTTTTTGAAGTCGAATTTGTTAATTAAGTATTTGCTTATGTATTTGCTGTTCAAATTCAATAAATTCATTATAAATCTCCTAATCTACTTTTAAAGGCTGTAAAAAGACCTACATACGATTTTGTATATACCAATATTTTTATGTATATGAGTATGTATGTTTAAGTTATATTGACTATAATATTATATTAGTTGATTACGTCATATCATCTGTATCTTTGTATTATAAGAGTTCCTTTAAAATTATTAATGACAATGACGTTTTTATTGTCATTGTCAACCTTAAAATATCAAAATTGTATAAATTTTGTTTTTTTTTTTAAGGTTGATGCTCTTTTCAATATTTTGTTTTAATTGAGACATGCGATCTCTAATGAAATGGAAACTAATAGCTAATAAGAGAAAAACGTGCTTCTAAAAGTCGAAATACATACACATTACACACATACTGAATTTGATTTGATATACTGAAGAGACAAGCCAAGACAGCAAATAATTAAGCCAATTCATTCAACTAAACCGCGATAAAGTGTGCACACACACACACACACACATTTTTAATATTGAAAATAAATCAGAAACTAAAAGAACACTAAGTTACCTACGTTACGTATGTATATCAGAATACACTCGCTTTTTAAAAAGTTCATAATGTAAGTGGTAAAGTAATAATTGAGAATCTCTAGTTTCGTGTGTGATGAATCGCGAATTTATAATTAAAGGGTTAAATTGGGTCAAGATGAGAATTAGAGACAAAACATAAAATGAAAGAGGAATAAAAACAAGAGAATCGAAGATTCAAGTGAAAAATTATTAATTGTTTGTAGTTAAAAGCTTTTTCAATTTCCGTATGAAAACAATATTGCTCACATATATACATACATATGTATGTACTTATATATAATATAATACATTCACCTGATCGTTTTTCTACACAGTGTTTAAAATTCGTGCATATGTAAAATTTTTCTGTTTATAAGTAATAAACAATCAAGTCTGCATTTCTAAATATTTTCTACACACACACACAATTAGTGCTGAAGAAAATATGCCCCCTCTTGCCTTGTACGAAATCGGAAAATAAAAAGAAAAAATAATTAAATGATTTATGAATTTCTTAAAAAAAAAACTACTGTATGCAATGTTTAAGATTTTCACAGCTTATTTTATTCTTATATCGAGTAAATATGAGCTCATGCCATGATTTTACGTGCACGTGTACCTATTTAAATTTATGTACATAATAAATTTAATAACATCGTAAAATAATACACATTTTTTTATTCATTTTATAAACAAAATCAAAAAGTCTTATGGGTTAACTCGTGATGAATCGTCGATGAAAAATCAATCAATTAAAAGTTTAAATATTTACCGATCGTATTGTATGTAATATGGGAGGTATTGCGATCACAACGCAAGCATTTTAGAAAATATTTTACATATATTATAGTGAATTTTACCACTGATGTAGTAACTGATGCTTCACAAATTAACACATTTCCTCATCTGCAAAGACATAATCAAACGATTCTGTTGAAATTTAGTATTTTAGCTGTATTTGACATTTAATTAAATTGTTTTGTTTAATTTTTTAGAGATATTAGGACTCGGAAACCAGTTTTTCACTACAGAACAATTTCAGATTCTTCGCCATATTGTGGAGCTGAAAAACTTTTAATTGCAGAAATGGGATCACAAACAATAAATTCTTCTACAAGAGAAAAATTTGTATTTTTTGAGGTACAGTAACAAGAAGGCTCTTAGTTTTCAGAAAATTTGAAATATATGTTTAAAAGTTGTTTCTACAATCTTGTGCACCCCTTTCGTCCAAGCAATAAGAACTTATTACGAGTAGTACTGATTTCTTGATGTTATTCAGAATATACACATTGTGGTCGGTTATGTACTGTTTTATACTTTCTTGATATTGAACAGATTGTTTAAAAATAGAAAATTTAAGTAATTTAATTTTGATATCTACTTTTCTTTTTTTTATTTTTTGTATAAATTAAATTAAAACATTTTTATAAGAACGTAATTTTTGAACGTAAACAGTTTTTAGATTTACAGAGAACATGTAATTACTGTTGCCATTTTTATCGATAAAATCGAATTGAGACTATTTTATTGAAATTTTATTGAAATTACCGTACTTCTTTATAGAGTTAAAAAAAAACCAGAAATTTTGCTACGATATTAGCGGGCAGATCTTCTTAACGCCGTATTTGAAGTGAAATTTTCATGGTAAGAAGCAAAAAGTTATCATTCACAATCGTAATAATATGGAAGTCGTATTGAGGTTGTGCTTACAGAAATTGATTTTGTAGAAGAACTTGTAGGTACATTATTAATAATAACATTATTTTCTAATTCAAAATTACTTGGTTCATAGAACAAAAGGAGAGGAGAATGTAGAAACACACCACAATATTCCCAGAATTTCTGAATGAACTCAAAAATTTAATGGGTAGATATTTCAGTGGAAAAAATATTTTAACTAATTGATAGGTGTATGGCCAGTGGCTACGCATCAAACAAATTATAATGGTCAACAAAAAGTGAATGGAATTTTTGATTTAAAATTAAATCAATTAAAAATAAAACTATTCAATTAAGTGTACTTAATATACAAAAAATATTTACAATTTTATATATTAATTTATAAGTTTTTTCAGAATAAGCAAATTATTTTTTTGTTCATATTAAATTGAAAATTAGTTTTTTAAATACTATATTTAAAATAGAGCAAAACCAATCTTCTCTCCTTCTTTAGTAGCTCTACAGCCCGATGTGTGCCTTAGCTTGATTCACTATCCGCCTCTATTCTTAGCGTTATTTAGGTTGGTAATTGCAATTTGTTTAAATCGTTTATCACATCGTCTTTCCATCTCAACTTTGGTCTGCCCCTAAATCTGTTGAGTAGGGGCCTCGCGTCATAAATTCTTTTTGGAGCTATTAGAGTTCATTCTGAATAAGTGTCCTGCCCAGTGCAGTCTTTTGACCTTTATATACCCAATAATGTCTTCATTGCAAACTTATTCTATCAGTTCGTGGTTCGTTTTAATTTCGTATTCGTTATTTTCGCTTTTTTTCGGCTTAAAAATTTTTCGTAATATTCTTCGTTCGAAAATTCTTAGAATATTTATATCACTTTGTATACAATGTCCAAGTTTCGGAATTATAGCTCAGAATCAGCCTCAGGATTGTTTTATATACCTGTAATTTACATTGTCGTAATAGTAAAACCAATGGGATCTTATAAATTAACGTTAATGAACTATGATATGAGTTTTTCTTACCGAATATGCTCAAAGTTAAATGAAATGAACATTAAGCCAGAATTCTTATCTATTGTTTCAGAATTCAAATGACATTCAACAAATTTCAGATTCAGTAAGTGCGGTAAGTCTATAACTTTTTACAACATTGCTTTGTATATCCTAAATTATAAAATACAAAATATTATTAATAAAATAAATTTTATATCAAAAATTTTTAATTCTATAACATCTTGTATCATTAAAAATTATTTAATTCACCATTATTCACCATTATTAACCATTATTAATTCAATTATGTTAATTAAAATTAGTAAAAATGTCATTTGAAAATAATGACAAAATAAATACAAAATTAAATTCAATAATGTAGAACACTTCCATTTTTTTTTTAAATTTACTAAATTGTACTTTTAAATTTTACAATAGAATTAAAACTTTTTGTCATTTTTAAATCTAACATTTTATTTTTAATACAAACATTTTAATTTTACATGAAAATTTTATTGTATACATTAATACAATAATTATTATAATATGTAATTGTATTTAATAAAAATTATTTAATTAAATTGTATAAAATTAACAAGCCAATATTCATGTATTCCTAATGCATTCTTATTTCATTTACAATATAACATCCTTTAACATTATTATTTTAAAATAATTAATCTGTAATTCGAGTTCAGAGAAAGTGAATGAGATAGAGAGCAAGTGATATATAAAGAGATGGTTATGTATAGAAACAGGGATAAAAATATAAAAGAATGAAATTGATATTATACACGTATAACACAAACCACAATTTTAATTCTGAAAAATAACGTTTGTGTAAAATTTAAAATTTTCAATACATATACCTACATTTTAATCCTTTATAGTAGATTGAATCCTTTTTTATTTTATTTCAACATAATATTGTTAGTATATGTATTCAACATAATTTTTAAAATATAAAGTCCTGAGATTAAATTCATAAAAAGTTTTTTTTTTTGAGGATGAAATTTGTGAGAAAAAAAAATATGATTGCAAAAATTTACCCAGAAACCATTATAAATTTCACTCCTATATTATTAGGAGTACATTTCATCGATCAATTAACAATAAAAGTAGGAAATATCAGAAAAGAAAAAACAAAAAATTTTTTTAACCATACTTTTGTATAAAAGTAGAAAAGGAATCTTAAAATAATCCTTTTCTATACCATCATTATATTCGAATTACATTACACAATATTTTATATATGAGCTTGCA